GCATGGGGGCATGAGGTAACGTGCGAACCACCTACTTCGATCTCAAATTTACCGCCACAAATAAAGACAGTTTCCATTGGAGAAAGGAAATACAAATCTCAAAAATTCTTGTATTGTGATGAAGACATAAAACAATTTTGAGGAATGCGCTCGCTGTTCACTGCTTTGGAGTAGCTGTAGCTCAAGCTGACTTGACTCTAAGAATTCTTCATCACACGACGGTTGATTGACAAATGGTCCAGTGGGACCTACGGCTCCTTTTATAGCGCGCCTTCGTGTTTAAAATGAGTGGGCCATGATTGGTTTTAGAGTTCTACGAGGGCACAATTTCTTGTTAGTGTCCACAATTCTGTAAACTTTTAATTTTTTTTCCAAAATGTTTGTCCTTGTTTTCGATTCCCCACAGCACTAAGGATTAGCAAGGGTGAATTCAATTGTAATCTTATAAACTCTCACGGAGACTGATCATGAAAATCAACTTAAGAACTACTGCTTCCCTTCTCCCACAAGCTGCCACCTAGGCCAAAGCAGAGAAAAATTTTAGCTCATATACATATGCAAAAGACAATCAAAAAGGTGTCCCAGAGGTAAAATTTTAAATAATGGATAATCAGTGATGTATGCAAATTTTTTGCGCCTTCAAACTTCTTGAATTCCAACAACCTTTTTGACTGACATGCTCAGCTCAGCCAACCCTATCGTTTTTGAATTTTTAACGGTAACAATTTACTTTATAACACTGAAAACGTACAGATTCACACGAAATCCTTCATGGTGCTATTCAGTAGCACCATTCAAAGGACAAGAACCGCTTGAAAGTTGTTTAACGTCATTTACATTTACATTTATATAGCGCAGACTTCTATGTGGATATATTCAGTCGCGCTTAACATTATAGTAAGTTTAGAATCGGACGTCAGCATTTTTATCTGGCGCCTCTGGCAGCCGCTTCAGTCCATGTAGCGATCTCACCTTCTCACCTTCTCACCCATCCCACCCCGGGGAGGACATCCACTACACAGTAATCTCTTGCATGGGAAATTTACGTCTCCTATCCCTAACCCTGCAGGAGACGGGACCTACGGCTTTACGTCCTATCCGAGAAGACGAAGCAATGTGAGTGAAGCGTCTTGCTTAAGGACAAAGCGTAAAGCCCCAGCTAGGACTTGAACCCGGGCCAACAGACCCAGAGTCCAGCGCACTGACCACTACGTGCTTAAGACAAAAGGACACTTGCTTGACAACATTACACGACACGCCCGCTGACCATAATGCTTGTCTCTCAAATCAAAATGGCTGCCAGATATAGATGGTCAGCTAGACAGAGCTGAATAATGAAATGCTACGTCAGCGGGTATGCGGTAAACAACGCGGGCTCAAGTGTCCAAGGTCTAAAATTTAGCGAAATTAACGGAAAATAATAAGGGCTGACCTTTAAGACCGAGGAACTCTGTTTTCGTCGAAGGCACTTTCCTATTTCCAAAGGTTTAAAGGAGAAAATTAATTTTTGAAAATTTTTAGGGAGTGTACCAAACTTTTGGAGGTTGTTCTGTAAAAGAAAAGCGGCAAGGAAAACGACACTTCAACGCAACAGAATAGAAAATCAACCATGCGCACGACTCAAAATCCGTGTTTCCGCGGCAAGACCTGGCGCATGCGTAGACGTTATTCAGCTCTGTCGGTCAGCTACCTTTAAGTCATCTCATTTCTTTAATTTTTTTCTTGGTTCTACATGACCTTCAATAACCTGGATTTTCTCGAATGTTGTTGCTAGTACGTAAGGTAGCTGTCTTAATGGAAGACACCAAAAAGCATCATGCAGTTTTTAACAACCTTGAGTGAGGCTTCGAAAAGTTTTATCAAAACCATTACGGTTAAACTCGTTAGAACTGATCCCACATCGGATCCTCACTTCACCAAGACATCAACAGTCCACAGTTTTAAACCGGCAACCTTAGGCTGGTGTGGGTCGATTGTTAGAGTGTTTGACATGGAAGAAGAAAGACTCTGGCGAACAACGCTAGAACTAAAGTTTACAACATGCTGTAACCACCAGAGGACTGTGTCTGTATTCAAGCGGGGATGAATTCGCCTTATTTTTCTATGGAACCCTCGACATTCAAAGTCAAAGAATACAAAACAACTCCGGCTGGGTCGGAGAGTATTTCTTCTTAACTGAACAACGATAAAAATTATGGCATTTGCAGAACACAATAATGGCGACTGAAGCTTCCAGAGCTTAACTTGAAAGGGGCCATAAGAACTTTTTGTACTTATTATGTCTCTCCAACATCATATATCCTAAAATAAATGCACATAACTATATCAAATGGGCACAAAATAAAAAACAGCTTGGTCAACATCTATAAGGATTCAAACCTCAGACTTTGGAAGTTTGCTGAGCAGAAGAAGAAATTTGGGTAGACTTCAAACCTGGCTGCAAAATGTTCTTAGAGCAGAGTAGAAATACAAACTTTCGGGTAAACTCACGTGAGGATTCAAACCTCAGACTTTGTAATAACGGTATCAAATGCTCTAGCAGCTGAGCTGAGAAAAAATATGCGTCGACCTCTGTAATAAATTAAACGGCAAATGTATGACAATAAAAATTCTGGTCGACTTTAAGGAGGATTCAAAGGAGGATTCAAACCTCAGATCTACCGATGTTGCAGTCAGATACTCTACCTGCTGAAGTATACAAAACTCGTGCAGTTATTGTTCTTATATCACACTAAGCATTGTATTTTGTTTGCTTCTTGAGTGTGTGATCAACAGGTTCTACAGATGCAGTTATTGTTTTACTTGAGTCAAATACCTGCTCAAATCAAGTTGGTACGCAAGGCAGCTAACAATGGGGTCAGACCAATCAACAGGGTTCTGTATGCAAAGAATGCTGCCTTAGCTGTTCGGGTAAGAATGGAATGAGATATGGCGATTGTACATAAAGTATGTACCGTAGTTGAACAAGTTATAGAACACGCGTATCTCGGCGGTTTTAGTAAAGATATTAGCTTTAGCTAAATATCATCCTCTGTATTGGTTGATGACTGCAACAGCGGCACATGTCACTGACTCCAAGTACTCTTCTTGTCAGCGTGTATAGCATTCGCAAAATGGACAAAGAGTCAAATTGAATCTGAGAAAAAGAAACAAGGAAACAAAAAATATCTTTGAGAGAGAGATTAATCATTTTTGTTACTAGCTCTTTTTCCACCGCAGGACGCAAATGTATCGACATTCGATTTCGGAGTTCGGCGTTCTTTTTCCGACTATCGACTTTTACTTTTTCGACTTACGGTTTTGGACTTCTACTCTTCCGACTTCAGACTTTGGATTTCGGATAGTCGATTTTGGAGTTCAGAGTTTTATTTCCGATTATCGACTTTTAGTTTTTCGTCTAGCAACTTTGGACCTCTAATTTCCGACTTCAGACTTCGTATTTCGGACATTCGATTGCGGAGTTTGGAGTTTTATTTCCAGTCATTGACGTATAATTTTCTAACCTCCGGTATCAGACTTCTAATCGACGAATTTCGACTTGTAAGCCTCCCACATCCAAATCTCTGAATGCGAACTTTCGATATCCGACTTTCATTCATCAATTACTACATGTAGACCTTCGACTTCAAAAGCACGATCTTCCTCAAGTTTTTCCCGATTTCAACACTGAAAAGTCATTTTCAAATTGCAACGTCCTCTGACCACGAGAGTCCAACTTTCTAGTTGAGTCAGGAATATACAATCAAAATATGGGGGCATTTTGGGTCACTTACAATATAAAAACATCATCAAACTGACATGTGATGAGAATAAAGAAAAATATCGATTAGGGAATATTAGCTGATCTAATCCAACTCTCGGAACTAATTAAGTTGAAATTGTAAATTGGCCACCGTAAATTGTAAACTGGCCACTTTTTACGGTGGCCAATTAACAATTTCAACTTATAACCAAGTTGCCTTGTTACCCCCACAGACGCAACGCCACAGTTTCTCTAGAGACTTACCCCCTCTATTCATTTGTCTCGGAGCTAACATCATGCCAATTGTATGGCAGGCAACTAGGAGAATTACTAGTGTGATCATGGGAATAAAAAGGCAATTATAGGTGAATGTGTACTCAGAGCTATTCTATATGAGGAGCGCCGTTGATATGTATGTTATAAACCTACTGGGAGGTCAATACGATTTAGCAGTTAGCCTTCGATATTTGAACTTTATTTGCGTTTTGGTACCAAATGGTTAGAACTACATGGAAGTATAGGTAGATACGTAACACTGCGTTCGCCTCCGTGGTATGAAATTGAGAATTAACTCTTTTCAAAACACACAGTAGCTTTTCGAAACTGTTTTGCCGAGACAATAAGAAACTTGGAATAAATCACTTAAAAGTATTGATACAACATTTGATGGCAAAAATGGATTCTCGGAGAGACCCCCTTAAAGTTAAAAGAAAATCTGTTTTCCGAAAAAATTCTTTGATTACCAAAAGCGAGTTTGAATTTTGTCATCGTAATATACAAATTGCATGTAGAAGGGGGCATCAATACAGCAATTAGCTGGTATGATATAAAGAAAATTTGAGAATGAAAGCTTCTCAACAAAGGAAAACATCTGCTAATTCGTGATCATCCGCTTGTAAATAAAAGATACTTGGACCGTGAATAGTCTACACAGTTACTGTATCTAATTCTTTTATTTCACAAAATCGCTAGTAGAAAAGGAGACCAACTGGAAGACTGTTAACAATGAATTTTTTGCTCCCATTCTTTTCATTTTTCTTTAGATTTTCAAAACATAATGGAACGATAAGCTTCCATAATAAACCTTTGCATACCCCTCAGGTCATTTTCATTTTGTTGCAGTGATATTTTTAATTAATTTTGATTTCAAAAAGGAAGCCTTTAAACTGTTGGGTAGCTTTAGGACCCACGGAATCTTTTGTAATATTTACAGCTGAAAGCGAACTGTTTCTCTTTCTGCTATTTCATTCTTTTAACGTTACAATCGAGTGAAGATATTCCCTGGAGCAGGTAAGTCGTTAAGTGCAATAGATTTTAGAGAACTTCGTATAGTTTCGACTTATTTTCAACAGCCAGTATGTCTCAAGAGTGTTTTTGAATCCTCAAATTAGAATGATCAGCCTTGTGAAATGTCGTTTAAATGGAGTTCCATTATATCTTTATTCAATGAAACCTTTTCTAGCGAGTGAGTTGCAATTAATAATTGTGACTTAACGACCCAAAAACTGGTATGTATGGTCGAAAATAAATCAAAGCAGACATTTTCTTATCATTTTTGGACCAAAAAGAGTGAAAAATAATCCCCATAGTCTTTTTCATTGCTACTCTTTTCGACGGTTAGTTATAAAATGAGTTACACCCTTCCCTATTATTTTGTTTCTTCTTGTTTCTCTTTTCCTTTTGCATTTCATCTATCCCCTGTTCGTTCACACATTCATTCATTCATTCATTCATTCACTCATTCATTCATTCATTCATTAAATCGCTCATTCACTCAATCACTCATTCATTCATTCATTCATTCACTCATTCACTCATTCACTCATTCACTCATTCA